TTTTTTTTTTTTTTTTTTTTTTTTTTGTCTCGATTCAAAGCGAAAGCTCGTTTCCCATTCGTCCTCGAAGCGTGACGTAACATGCAAATGGAACCCTTTTTTCCCCCGGCCAGCCACATGCAAATGCGCGCAGAAATTTTCATGCGGAACGTGCGAGAATAACGAAACAGAAAGAGGACGTCGCTTGTTTGATTCCGGCTATGTAACGCATTCCCTTTATTTTCGTGATTCGTATTTAAATCGCGACGCTGTCGACACATCGGGCCCCTCGAATATTAAATAAGAGGCACGAGTAATAAAGTGAATTATTCAAAGGGTTCTAAAGGTGTCGTTTAAACGTCGTTTAATATCTTCCATTAAATAAATAGATTTTGAAAAAAAAAAAAAGACAAAGAAAAAAAGAATACATCGTGGAATCGTTTTTAAATTTATATAAATTTTTCTTTTAACGCATTTTTTTCTTTCTTTCTTCTTTTTTTTCTTTCACCAACAAACGAACGTTTAACATGATTCCGAAGGATGATATCAATATCTCGCGAATATCTTATATTCCTTTCGCAGAAATTTAATTAATACGAGTCGATTAACATTCCTCGTGAGTTTTGCTCGTCAAAGTTCTATCATCGATCATTTTTATCGATCACTTTTATACGATAACCCTTGTAGATACACTTGCGAAAGAGCAAGTGTTTTAAACGAAGATTTGTCCGCAGCACGGGTCTGGATGGAAGAGCTTGCGTGATGAAGGCTCTGTGCGAGGCTGCCCAGAGGAGTCCACAGGATGTTGGAAAAGGGAGCCTGGTCCAGGAGTTGCTGCACGCCATCTTCACGTGGGTATCGCGTTTACCTCATCGATATTTCGATTATTTATGAACCCTGGTAATCTTCTCTTAAAACCAAGTAGATTAAGAAAAAAAAGAGAAAAAAAGTAGTACCTTTTACATCTACCATATCCATCGTGAAAAAAGATCAAATCCCTATTCTAAATTACGATTGATATTCATAATTACATTAATAACAAATGCAACGTATGAATATGAAACGAAGCAGCGATAGCGATATAGTAATTAGTAATGGTTAATATTCATCGAGGTATTTACGTTAATATTAACCGAAAATCCATTGAATTCCGAACAAAAGAAGAAAAAAGAAAAAGGGGGGCCGCATTCTGTATATCCTCCCTTCTACGTAATAACTGTATTCAATGACGAAGCAGGGATAGCTAATTCGAACCGTTATTCAATCCCAGCGACTATGAAACTAAAACGTCTGGCGAGGGCGGCGTATAATCAATTAAAGGGATTAATCAACCGAAACGATTGAATCAGGAGTAATGTCCCGGATTCAGATCAACCGGTTAACCATCGATTTTGCCAGACCGATCCACTCGTTTCGAACGAATCAACGTTGTTGCGCTTTATCCATAATTTTTCACCGCCAGTATCCTTCCAGTATCCTTCTTCCTCTTCCTCTAAACCGTTCCGAAATTCGAAAACGAGGCGAAGGAAAGAAATCACACGCCACCCACTCCCTATCTAATCATAATTACGCAAATTACGTCAACGATTCCGAATGAAATCGCCTAGCTGGTCATCGGAATAGCTTTAAAGGGATTATCCTAACGTATTCTCTCCCCACTTAATTTCACGTGGTTTCTTAAGAAACGAGATCGGATGGATCCGCTGAATCTGAAATCGAATCCGGGATCTCGGTCGCCACCATTCGACCGTCTTCTTAAAATCCCATCCCCTCTTTTTCTTGCAGGTTGCCAGGGGACGGTGGCCGTTTCGAGCGAGCCGAGGATCAAGCTTACGAGCGCGCTTACACGAGCGGAGAGGATTGCAACCGGCTGTACCCGACCTGCCGCCACTCCATTTACGAGCTCGAGTTCTGAGGCTCGGTCATCCCTCCCATAGCAATTGGACGCTATTCGTATGCGTGCGCGAACGTTGACCGCGTTTCCACGCGACGGAAACGTGCGCCACCCTCCTCTCCACCTCGCCCCCTCGATTTTTCAAACCGAGCCATCCGTCGCCTAATCCCCTTCTCCTCCTCCAATGCTTCGGTCGAATCGCTGCCAAAGTTGAGCGCGTCTTCGTTTCGTGTTTCGAATTTTTCCAACTCCTCGCCCTCCCCGCCTCATCACGCCCCGCCTCGCCTCGCTTCGTTTCACTCGCGTGGCGCGCGACCGTTTCTCTTTTCCGTGAACGAATGGTGGAGCCATTTTCCGCCACGGGGGGCAGGGAATTTTCGAATGCAAAGTGGATATATTCGGACACGAGAATGCGGAGAAATGGAAATTTTGAACAATTGTCGGTGGAATAGGTTGGATAAGAATGGCTCGGGTTACGACTAGTATGCGGCTATCTCTATTTTATCGGAAATGGGATCGATGGAAATGGACACGAGCGCATAGGAGTGAAAGAGTTGGGGAATTTTTTTTTTCAGTTTATTAACTAAGAGAAAATTAAAAGATTGAAATTAAACTTTTGACGATGCGTTTGATTGCAAGTGTATTGAGAGTTGCGTGTGAGCTAGTTAAGATGATTATAATGATAGATAGAGAGAATAAATCGTGTTAATCCATTTAAATCAGGTTGCAGATTGGGTATCTGTTAGGTAAGTACGATTACAGATCGATAAAAGTTGTTAAAGTGCAAGTTGATGATCCTTTTAGGCAACAGCTTGGCTACTATCTACGGTCCATTTTTATTTCCTCTATGCGTTCTCTTTTCTTTTTCCTTTTCCTTTTCAAGGATTTTTTTCACGACTTTTTCACGACCGCCACGATTTATTTTAGAGGATGTCGGTGTATTCGCGGTAATTCGTTTTGCATTAACAAAATGGTCAACCGAGTGACCGCGGATTTACAGTTCATTTCGGCGGAGTGCAGTGCCTGCCCGCTCTTTCAACCCTTTTGTAAACGGGCCTGAGTGAAAAAGTCTACAAAAGGAGAACGGGAGAGAAAGGGAGAATGGAACGGAACGGGGAGGAAGAAGAGGAGGGAAATAATATCGCGCATCGCGGTATTATTTAAATGTCCAATATTTAACCACCAAGTATTACAACAACGTTTAAATGAGTTCGTTTTTTATTAATAATAATAGGTTCGCGCATCTATTCGACAAAGTTCACTTTGGTTTTCGAACGAGAAAGAAAAAAGAAATTAAAATTTCCAC